CGGAGTGGAGCGGCTGACCGGAGCTGGACTGGACCCCAGTGGAGCGGATTGCTCTGGCTCCGGAGTGGATCCGCTGACTGGAGTTGGACCGGACCCCGATGGAGCGGATTGCTCTGGCTCCGGAGTGGAGCAGCTGACCGGTGCCGGACCAGGCACCGGTGGAACAGGCACGGGCCGTGCCGGACTGGACACACGCACCACTGGCTTGGTGTGGGGAGCAGGAACGGGCCGGACCGGGCTGACGACGTGCACCACTGGCTTGGTGCGGGGAGCAGGTACGGGCCGGACCGGGCTGACAATGCGCACCACTGGCTTGGTGCGGGGAGCAGGAACGGGCCGTACCGGACTGGCAACGCGCACCACTGGCTTGGTGCGAGGGACAGGAACAGGCCGGACCGGGCTGGCGACGCCGCACCAAGCCAGTACTGGACACACGCACCACTGGCTTGGTGCGGGGAGCAGGAACGGGCCGGACCGGGCTGACGACGCGCACCACTGGCTTGGTGCGGGGAGCAGGAACAGGCCGGACCGGGCTGGCGACGCGCACCACTGGCTTGGCGCGAGGGACAGGAACAGGCCGGACCGGGCTGGCGACGTGCACCACTGGCTTGGTGCGAGGGACAGGAACAGGCCGGGCCGGACTGGGAACACGCACCACTGGCTTGGTGCGGGGAGCAGGAACGGGCCGGGCCGGACTGGGAACACGCACCACTGGCTTGGTGCGGGGAACAGGAACGGGCCGGGCCGGACTGGGAACACGCACCACTGACTTGGTGCGGGGAGCAGGAACGGGACGGACCGGGCTGGCGACACGCACCACTGGCTTGGTGCGGGGAGCAGGAACGGGCCGGGCCGTACTAGGAACACGCACCACTGGCCTGGTGCGGGGAGCAGGAACGGGCCGTACCGGACTGTGGAGGCGGACTGGAGGTCTGGAGCGGAGAGCTGACACAACCCGTCCTGGCTGAATGCCTACTTCCACACAATATGTGTGAGGCATTAGCACAGGACGTACGGGGCTTTGCACTCGTACTGGCGATACAGCACGTAGCACCAGCGCAGGATATACGGGACCGAGGAGACGTACTGGAGACCACGAGCGTTGAGCCGGCACACCCCGTCCTGGCTGAATGCCCATCTTCGCACGACACGTGCGTGGTGCTAGCACAGGAGCCTGCCCAGTCACACGCTTCTTAGCATGATTATGGGGAGTTGGCTCTGCTCTAACACTAGGCTCCGCCAACCACACATTTAGCCCCCCCAAAAAATTGTATTGGGGCTGTCTCTCGGGCTTCCTCCTCGGTCGGCACCTTCTGTGTTGCCGCTGCTCCTCTCTATAGCGCAGTCTCCTCCCAAGGACGGCGATCCATTCCGGCCTGAATCTCCTCCCAAGTCCAGGATCCCTTCCCGTCCAGGATCTCCTCCCAGGTCCAGGCTGTCTGCTCCTGGACACGCTGCTTGGTTCTTAGTTGGTGGGATCTTCTGTCACGATCGTTTAAGGATTGGTTGAACCAAGGCGCAGCGTGATAAGCGTACATTTTATTAAAGTACTGAACACACGACAAAACAACAAACAAACGAAACGCGAAGTCTTAAGGTTACACCAAACAAACCTATACAGAACAAGATCCCACACAGACTGGTGCCCAACGGCTGCCTAAGTATGGGTCCCCAATCAGAGACAACGAGCTACAGCTGCCTCTGATTGGGAACCACCCTGGCCAACATAGATCTACACGATCTAGACACTAAACATAGAAAACTTAACATAACACGGAATCTGCACACCCTGACTCAACAAATAAACGTCCCCTGAGTCAGGGCGTGACAGAGAGAGAGAGAGAGAGAGAGAGAGAGAGAGAGAGAGAGAGAGAGAGAGAGAGAGAGAGAGAGAGAGAGAGAGAGAGAGAAAATTCCATTTGGACACAGTTCCATTAGAACACACCTGGCTGCCCAGAGAGGACAGGCTGTGCTCATTCTGAAACCCGGGGAGAGGTAGAGACAGAGCTGCATTTCCTATTACACAAATACTCAGACCTAAGAGAATCTTTCTTTCCCAAAATTATCATTCAGTACAAAGAATTTGAAACTTTGAAACTATAAAAGATCAATCAAATATTTATTGGGTGAAAAGCCAAAATGTGCAATTTTGGCAGCCAAATATGTGTCCTCCTGCCACAACCTGAGGGACAGCCAGTGAAAAGTGCAATGTAATGTCAATAATATTTCCTGTTTAGTTTAGTCTTTCATACCATGTCATGTGTCTTCTCAGTCAGGTTGCTTTAATGTATTGTTATTCTCATTAAAATTGTTGTTGTAGTTGCTGTTAATGGTAATCCCATTTCCACTACTACTATTATTATTGCTGTTGGTCCCACCATTTTGTAAATATGTATACTTTGACAATGTAAGTAATTAGACTTTAAATCAAATCAAAATGTATTTGTTACATGCGGCGAATACAACAGGTGTAGACATTACCGTGAAATGCTTGCAGGTGTAGACATTACTGTGAAATGCTTGCTTACAAGCCCTTAACCAACAATGCAGTTCTAAGAAAGAATACCTAAAATAGAAAAAAAATAAAAATAAAACTAATTAAAGAGCAGCAGTAAAATAAAATAAATAAATAAAAATAAAATAACAGTAGGGATGTTATATACAGGGGGTACCGGTACAGAGTCAATGTGCGGGGGCACTGGTTAGTTGAGGTAATTGAGGTAATATGTACATGTAGGTAGAGTTACTAAAGTGACTATGCACAGATAATAAACAGAGAGTAGCAGCAGCGTAAAAGACGGGGGGGGGGGGGGGGGGGGGGGGGGGGGCAATGCAAATAGTCTGGGTAGCCATTTGAAGTCTTATGGCTTGGGGATAGAAGCTGTTTAGAAGCCTCTTGGACCTAGACTTGGCTCTCCGGTACCGCTTGCCGTGCGGTAGCAGAGAGAACAGTCTATGACTAGGGTGGCTGGAGTCTTTGACAATTTTGAGGGCCTTCCTCTGACACCGCCTGGTATAGAGGTCCTGGATGGCAGGAAGCTTGGCCCCAGTGATGTAATGGGCCGTACACACTACCCTCTGTAGCGCCTTGCGGTCGGATGCAGAGCAGTTGCCATACCAGGCAGTGATGCAACCAGTCAGGATGCTCTCGATGGTGCAGCTGTAGAACCTTGTGAGGATCTGAGGACCCATGCCAAATATTTTCGGTCTCCTTAGGGGGAATTTGTCGTGCCCTCTTCACGACTGTCTTGGTGTGTTTGGACCATGATAGTTGGTTGGTGATGTGGACACCAAGGAACTTGAAGCTCTCAACCTGCTCCACTACAGCCCCGTCGATGAGAATGGTGGTGTGCTCGGTCCTCCCCGTCGATGAGAATGGTGGTGTGCTCGGTCCTCCTTTTCCTGTAGTCCACAATCATCTCCTTTGTCTTGATCACGTTGAAGGAGAGGTTGTTGTCCTGGCACCACACGGCCAGATCTCTGACCTTCTCTCTATAGGCTGTCTCGTAGTTGTCAGGTGATCAGGCCTACCACTGTTGTGTCATCGGCAAACTTAATGATGGTGTTGGAGTCGTGCCTGTCCTTGCAGTCATGAGTGAACAGGGAGTACAGGAGGGGACTGAGCACGCACCCCTGAGGGGCCCCCGTGTTGAGGATCGGCGTGGTGGATGTTCTGTTACCCTTACTCCCTGGGGGCGGCCCGTCAGGAAGTCCAGGATCCAGTTGCAGAGGGAGGTGTTTAGTCCCAGGGTCCTTAGCATAATGATGAGCTTTGAGGGCACTATGGTGTTGAATGCTGAGCTGTAGTCAATGAATATCATTCTCACGTAGGTGTTCCTTTTGTCCAGGTGTGAAAGGGCACTGTGGAGCGCAATAGAGATTGCATCATCTGTGGATCAGTTGGGACGGTATGCAAATTTGAGTGGGTCTAGGGTTTCTGGGATAATGGTTTTAATGCCATGTCAATAAAGTCTATTGAATTGAATTGATTTGAGAGAGATGAGAGAGAGAGAGAGAGAGAGAGAAGAGAGAGAGAGAGAGAGAGAGAGATAGAGAGAGAGAGAGAATGGGAGACAAGAGAGAGAGAGAGAGCGCGAGCCTCGAGCGCGCTGCGAGATGGGGAGCCCCACCGAGCGCAGATCGCGAGCTATCGAGACGATCGCGCTCTCGCGCGATCTACTCTTTGTGCCCTCCTCTCGCTCTCTCTCTCTCTCTCCTTTGTCTCCCCCCCCTCGCTCTCTCTCTCGCTTTCTCTCTCTCTCTCGCGTCCCGCGCTCCCTAGAGATTGAGAGAGATGGAAAGAGGGAGACTTCGACTCTGTCAATAATTAATTGAATGGTAGGAGAATATAAACTGTGTTAGAGACAGGGATAGAGGTAGTGGGGGCCCCTGGGAGCGGCTGGGAGAGCAGTCCTGATGGCTACAGGCACTTAACCGGCCTCACAGTCCTTCCCAGGCCCTAGTGTACTATAGACTCTTCAATAAGAGGGGCTTCCTCTCTTCTCTATGTCTGAAGGTAGAAAGCTACCTCAGGTGGGTGGGCCATGTGGGATAGAACGTGATTGGTCTCCAGCAAAACACTTCTGCTTCATGATGTAATAATATGGCTGTCCTACAGTTAAAGGCTAATTAACTGTCAATTACAATGATATTGCCTTTCATTTGATTTGATTTGTATTACAGTGGGGGAAAAAAGTATTTAGTCAGCCACCAATTGTGCAAGTTCTCCCACTTAAAAAGATGAGAGAGGCCTGTAATTTTCATCATAGGTACACGTCAACTATGACAGACAAAAATGAATTTATTTGCAAATTATGGTGGAAAATAAGTATTTGGTCAAATCTTTTCCCCACTGTGTATGATTGCCTTTTAATTAAGCACCTCATTAAAACCTCGATATTTGAATTGAAAGTGCCAATCTAATATCCCATATAAAGCTTCAGTGTGATGAAACTGAAGTGCAAGGCTTCAGGGATAGGGTTAGTGTGACTGTACCTTAGTTAGTTGGGATCAGGGTTACCTTGGTTGGAGCTGTTGGAGGGGAAGCGGTCAGACTTCTTGAGGGTTCTGAAGTGAATCCTCTTGCTGGCCCGACTCTCTCCATACAGACCAATGGACTGGACCTGGATAATGTAGTCTGTCTCCTCGTCCAGATCCCACAGAACACAGGCCCTGCTGGTGGTGTTCACCTCCCTGATGAAGCGCTGGGTGTGGCCCTCCAGCCTCTGAGATATAGGACAAAGATATAGGGGTTAAAGGTTTCAGTTGAGTTGGCAAGACAATTAGTTATTTATCTGAATGAAAATTCAGAAAATTCAATGGGGTGACCTTGAGAATGCAAAGTAGGCTCGCAGAATTTCTAATCTGGGAAATGTGTCTCGTCATTGTATGCGTGCCCTATCTACAGTTGAAGTCGGAAGTTTACATACACCTTAGCCAAATACATTTAAACTCAGTTTTTGCACAATTCCTGACATTTAATCCTAGTAAAAATGCCCTTTCTTAGGTCAGTTAGGATCACCACTTTATTTTAAGAATGTGAAATGTCAGAATAATAGTAGAGAAAATTATTTATTTCAGCTTTGATTTCTTTCATCACATTCCCAGTGGGTCATAAGTTTACATACACTCAATTAGTATTTGGTAGCATTGCCTTTAAATTGTTTAACTTGGGTCAAACATTTCGGGTAGCCTTCCACAAGCTTCCCACAATAAGTTGGGTGAATTTTGGCCCATTCCTCCTGACAGAGCTGGTGTAACTGAGTCAGGTTTATAGGCCTCCTTGCTCGCACACGCTTTTTCAGTTCTGCCCAAACATTTTCTATAGGATTGAGGTCAGGGCTTTGTGATGGCCACTCCAATACCTTGACTTTGTTGTCCTTAAGCCATTTTGCCACAACTTTGGAAGTATGCTTGGGGTCATTGTCCATTTGGAAGACCCATTTGCGACCAAGCTTTAACTTCCTGACTGATGTCTTGAGATGTTGCTTCAATGTATCCACAATTTTCCTTCCTCATGATGCCATCTATTTTGTGAAGTGCACCAGTCCCTCCTGCAGCAAAGCACCCCCAGAGCATGATGCTGCCACCCCCGTGCTTCACGGTTGGGATGGTGTTCTTCGGCTTGCAAGTCCCCCCTTTTACCTCCAAACATAACGATGGTCATCATGGCCAAACAGTTCTATTTTTGTTTCATCAGACCAGAGGACATTCCTCCAAAAAGTATAGTCTTTGTCCCCATGTGCAGTTGTAAACCGTAGTCTGGCTTTTTTTATGGCGGTTTTGGAGCAGTGGCTTCCTCCTTGCTGAGCGGCCTTTCAGGTTATGTCGATATAGGACTCGTTTTACTGTGGATATAGATACTTTTGTACTTGTTTCCTCCAGCATCTTCACAAGGTCCTTTGCTGTTGTTCTGGGATTGATTTGCACTTTTTTCACCAAAGTACGTTCATCTCTAGGAGACAGAACGCGTCTCCTTCCTGAGCGGTATGGCGGCTGCGTGGTCACATGGTGTTTATACTTGCATACTATTGTTTGTAAAGATGAACGTGGTACCTTCAGGCGTTTGGAAATTGCTCCCAAGAATGAACCAGAATTGTGGAGGTCTACAATTTTTTTCTGAGGTCTTGGCTGATTTCTTTTGAATTGTGATACAGTGAATTATAAGTGAAATAATCTGTCTGTAAACAATTGTTGATAAAATAACGTTAATGTCCTAACCGACTTGCCAAAACTATAGTTTGTTAACAAGAAACGTGTGGAGTGGTTGAAAGATTAGTTTTAATGACTCCAACCTAAGTGTATGTAAACTTCCGACTTCAACTGTAACTACCCACAGTCCTCCATGTTCTCTCTGTCCAACTCCCCACAGTCCTCCCTGTCTAACTCCCCACAGTCCTCCTTGTTCTGTCTGTTTAACTCCTCACAGTACTTCCTGTCTAACTCCCCACAGTCCTCCCTGTTCTCCCTATCTAACTCCCCACAGTCCTCCCTGTTCTCCCAGTCTAACTCCCCACAGTCTTCCCTGTTCTCCCTGTCTAACTCCCTACAGTCCTCCCTGTTCTCCCTATATAACCTCCCACAGTCCTCCCTATCTAAATCCCCTCAGACCTCTCTATCTAACACCCCACAGTCCTACCTGTCTAAACCAACAGTCCTCCATATCTAACTACCCACAGTCCTCCGTGTTCTCTCTGTCCAACTCCCCACAGTCCTCCCTGTCTAACTTCTCAGTCCTCCTTGTTCTCTCTGTCTATCTCCTCACAGTCCTCACTGTCTATCTCCCTACAGTCCTCCCTGTTCTCCCTTTCTATCTCCCCACAGTCCTCTCTATATAACTCCCCACATTCCTCCCTGTTCTCCCAATTTAACTCCCCACAGCCCTCCCTGTTCTCCCAGTCTAACTCCCCACAGTCCTCCCTGTTCTCTCTATCTTACTCTCCACGGTCCTCCCTATCTATCTCCCCACAGTCCTCTCTATCTAACTCCCCACAGTCCTCTATACCTATCCCCCCAAAATCCTCCCTGTCTAACTTTTCAAAGTTCTCTCTATCTAACTCCCCACAGTCCTCCCTGTTCTCCCTATCTAACTCCCCACAGTCCTCCCTATCTAACCCCTCACAGTCCTCCCAGTTCTCCCAATCTAACTGCCCAGAGTCCTCCCCATCTAACTCCCCACAGTCCTCCCTATCTAACTCCCCACAGTCCTCCCTGTTCTCCCTATCTAACTGCCCACAGTCCTCCCCATCTAACTCCCCACAGTCCTCCCTATCTAACTCCCATTAGTCCTCCCTATCTAACTCCCGACAATCCTCTATGTTCTCTCTGTCAAACTCCCCACAGTCTTCAATTTCTAAATCCTCAAGGTTCTCTCTATCTATCTCCCCACAGTCCTCCCTGTTGTCCCTATCTAACTCCCCACAGTCCTCCTTATCTAACCCCTCACAGTTCACCCAGTCCTCTCTATGTAACTCCCCACAGTCCTCTCTTTCTAACTCCCCACAGTACTCCCTATCTAACTTGCCACAGATCTCTCTATCTAACTCCCCCGGTCCTCCCTGTTCTCCCTGTCTAAGTCTCCAGAGTCCTCCCTATCTATCTCCCCACAGTCCTCCCTGTTCTACCTATCTATCTCCCCACAGTCCTCCTTGTTCTCCATGTCTAACTCCCCACAGTCCTCCTTGTTCTCCATATCTAACTGCCCACATTCCTCCCTATATAACTCCCCACAGTCCTCCCTGTTCTCCATATCTAACTGCCCACAGTCCTCCCTGTCTATCTCCCCACAGTCCTCCCTATCTAACCCCTCGCAGTCCTCCATGTTCTACCTATCTAACTCACCACAGTCCTCCCTGTTCTCCCTATCTAACTCCCCACAGTCCTCCCTATCTAACCCCTCACAGTCCTCCCCAGTTCTCCCAAAATAACTGCCCACAGTTCTCCCCATCTAACTCCCCACAGTCCTCCCTATCTAACTCCCCACAGTCCTCCCTGTTCTCCCTATCTAACTCCCCACAGTCCTCCCTATCTAACTCCCCACAGTCCTCCCTGTTCTCCCTATCTAACTCCCCACAGTCCTCCCCATCTAACTCCCCACAGTCCTCCCTATCTAACTCCCCTTAGTCCTCCCTATCTAACTCCCCACAATCCTCACAGTACTTCCTGTCTAACTCCCCACAGTCCTCCCTGTTCTCCCTATCTAACTCCCCACAGTCCTCCCTGTTCTCCCAGTCTAACTCCCCACAGTCCTCCCTGTTCTCCCTGTCTAACTCCCTACAGTCCTCCCTGTTCTCCCTATATAACCTCCCACAGTCCTCCCTATCTAAATCCCCTCAGACCTCTCTATCTAACACCCCACAGTCCTACCTGTCTAAACCAACAGTCCTCCATATCTAACTACCCACAGTCCTCCGTGTTCTCTCTGTCCAACTCCCCACAGTCCTCCCTGTCTAACTTCTCAGTCCTCCTTGTTCTCTCTGTCTATCTCCTCACAGTCCTCACTGTCTATCTCCCTACAGTCCTCCCTGTTCTCCCTTTCTATCTCCCCACAGTCCTATCTATATAACTCCCCACATTCCTCCCTGTTCTCCCAATTTAACTCCCCACAGCCCTCCCTGTTCTCCCAGTCTAACTCCCCACAGTCCTCCCTGTTCTCTCTATCTTACTCTCCACGGTCCTCCCTGTCTATCTCCCTACAGTCCTCTCTATTTAACTCCCCACAGTCCTCTATACCTATCCCCCCAAAATCCTCCCTGTCTAACTCCTCAAAGTTCTCTCTATCTAACTCCGCACAGTCCTCCCTGTTCTCCCTATCTAACTCCCCACAGTCCTCCCTATCTAACCCCTCACAGTCCTCCCAGTTCTCCCAATCTAACTGCCCAGAGTCCTCCCCATCTAACTCCCCACAGTCCTCCCTATCTAACTCCCCACAGTCCTCCCTGTTCTCCCTATCTAACTGCCCACAGTCCTCCCCATCTAACTCCCCACAGTCCTCCCTATCTAACTCCCCACAGTCCTCCCTGTTCTCCCTATCTAACTGCCCACAGTCCTCCCCATCTAACTCCCCACAGTCCTCCCTATCTAACTCCCATTAGTCCTCCCTATCTAACTCCCGACAATCCTCTATGTTCTCTCTGTCAAACTCCCCACAGTCTTCAATTTCTAAATCCTCAAGGTTCTCTCTATCTATCTCCCCACAGTCCTCCCTGTTATCCCTATCTAACTCCCCACAGTCCTCCTTATCTAACCCCTCACAGTTCACCCAGTCCTCTCTATGTAACTCCCCACAGTCCTCTCTTTCTAATCCCCACAGTACTCCCTATCTAACTTGCCACAGATCTCTCTATCTAACTCCCCCGGTCCTCCCTGTTCTCCCTGTCTAAGTCTCCAGAGTCCTCCCTATCTATCTCCCCACAGTCCTCCCTGTTCTACCTATCTTATCTCCCCACAGTCCTCCTTGTTCTCCATGTCTAACTCCCCACAGTCCTCCTTGTTCTCCATATCTAACTGCCCACAGTCCTCCCTATCTAACTCCCCACAGTCCTCCCTGTTCTCCATATCTAAATGCCCACAGTCCTCCCTATCTATCTCCCCACAGTCCTCCCTATCTAACCCCTCACAGTCCTCCATGTTCTACCTATCTAACTCTCCACAGTCCTCCCTGTTCTCCCTATCTAACTCCCCACAGTCCTCCCTATCTAACCCCTCACAGTCCTCCATGTTCTACCTATCTAACTCCCCACAGTCCTCCCCATCTAACTCCCCACAGTCCTCCCTATCTAACTCCCCTTAGTCCTCCCTATCTAACTCCCCACAATCATCTATGTTCTCTCTGTCAAACTCCCCACAGTCCTCCATGTTCTCCCAATCTTACTCCCCACAGTCTTCAATTTCTAAATCCTCAAGGTTCTCTCTATCTATCTCCCCACAGTCCTCCCTGTTGTCCCTATCTAACTCCCCACAGTCCTCCTTATCTAACCCCTCACAGTTCACCCAGTCCTCTCTATGTAACTCCCCACAGTCCTCTCTTTCTAACTCCCCACAGTACTCCCTATCTAACTTGCCACAGATCTCTCTATCTAACTCCCCAGGTCCTCCCTGTTCTCCCTGTCTAAGTCTCCAGAGTCCTCCCTATCTATCTCCCCACAGTCCTCCCTGTTCTACCTATCTATCTCCCCACAGTCCTCCCTGTTCTCCATGTCTAACTCCCCACAGTCCTCCTTGTTCTCCATATCTAACTGCCCACATTCCTCCCTATCTAACTCCCCACAGTCCTCCCTGTTCTCCATATCTAACTGCCCACATTCCTCCCTATCTATCTCCCCACAGTCCTCCCTGCTCTCCCTGTCTAACTCCCCACAGTCCCCTCTGCTCTCCCTGTCTAACTCCCCACAGTCCTCCCTGCTCTCCCAGTCTAACTCCCCACAGTCCTCCCTGTTCTCCCTGTCTAACTCCCCACAGTCCTCCCTGCTCTCCCTATCTAACTCCCCACAGTCCTCCCTGCTCTCCCTGTCTAACTCCCCACAGTCCTCCCTGCTCTCCCTGTCTAACTCCCCACAGTCCTCCCTGCTCTCCCTATCTAACTCCCCACAGTCCTCCCTGCTCTCCCTATCTAACTCCCCACAGTCCTCCCTGCTCTCCCTATCTAACTCCCCACAGTCCTCCCTGCTCTCCCTATCTAACTCCCCACAGTCCTCCCTGCTCTCCCTATCTAACTCCCCACAGTCCTCCCTGCTCTCCCTATCTAACTCCCCACAGTCCTCCCTGCTCTCCCTGTCTAACTCCCCACAGTCCTCCCTGCTCTCCCTATCTAACTCCCCACAGTCCTCCCTGCTCTCCCTATCTAACTCCCCACAGTCCTCCTGCTCTCCCTATCTAACTCCCCACAGTCCTCCCTGCTCTCCCAGTCTAACTCCCCACAGTCCTCCCTGCTCTCCCAGTCTAACTCCCCACAGTCCTCCCTGCTCTCCCAGTCTAACTCCCCCACAGTCCTCCCTGCTCTCCCTGTCTAACTCCCCACAGTCCTCCCTGCTCTCCCTGTCTAAACTCCCCACAGTCCTCCCTGCTCTCCCTGTCTAACTCCCCACAGTCCTCCCTGCTCTCCCTATCTAACTCCCCACAGTCCTCCCTGCTCTCCCAGTCTAACTCCCCACAGTCCTCCCTGCTCTCCCTGTCTAACTCCCCACAGTCCTCCCTGCTCTTCCTGTCTAACTCCCCACAGTCCTTCCTGCTCTCCCTGTCTAACTCCCCACAGTCCTCCCTGCTCTCCCTATCTAACTCCCCACAGTCCTCCCTGCTCTCCCAGTCTAACTCCCCACAGTCCTCCCTGCTCTCCCAGTCTAACTCCCCACAGTCCTCCCTGCTTTCCCTCTCTAACTCCCCACAGTCCTCCCTGCTCTCCCTGTCTAACTCCCCACAGTCCCCTCTGCTCTCCCTGTCTAACTCCCCACAGTCCTCCCTGCTCTCCCTCTCTAACTCCCCACAGTCCTCCCTGCTCTCCCTATCTAACTCCCCACAGTCCCCTCTGCTCTCCCTGTCTAACTCCCCACAGTCCTCTCTGCTCTCCCTGTCTAACTCCTGAGGGCCACATACACCACTCATTACCAGAACTGTTACTGGTATGCGTACTATGATGAAAAGCCATCGACAGAACCATTTAGATGT